GCTAACCGCCTGTGGTGAAGGAAAAAAGTAGAAGTATAAAGGTACATGGCTCTATGAATAATTACTTATTAGTTATTTATCATTAACATTAACTAACACTGTTAGTTAGTTAATGCGGTGAACTTAGGCGATGTTGTAAACCACAGGTATCGTGATTGCTAACCTACTGTTAGCTTGCTAGTCGGTTATTTTAATATAAGTTAAATTATATTTGCATTGTTATGTAAAACATCGTATTTAGGTCTTTGTTAAGTTCTTTGTGACTGCTCTGCCTGTTTACACGTTTCAAAAACAATCGAAACGGTTTGCTTGTTTTAAAAAAGCATCAGCAGCTGGTTTATTTTCTTTCTTTCCAGCACAATAGGCTGTGATAATGGTTGTGTTAAATGTATAAAGCAGAAATGATCAAGCATGAACAATATATAGTTAATATTTTCCAGAGGAGGGTTGGGAACGCTTTTAGCTGAGGTCGGCCCCAAAGTTAAATTCTGCTCTGATATGGAGAGCACCAAACCACCTGTCGGTGTGGTGTGTAGACGAGCAGGTGAAAATGTGAAGTTTATTAAAGTAAGTGAATTTATAATGCGTCCTTCACAGGCAAATAAAGCAGTTAAAAAAGAAATAAAACAGATAAAGGTGAGACAAATATTCCTTAAACTGATTTTTAATTTCTTTAGCTGTTTTGAACAGTAATCTGCTCTGACAACGAACTGGTAGGAAGAACAGGTCAGTAAAAGCTCTGAGATTTACTGCAGTGGTTAAAACAAGATTTTAAAAATGTGTCTATAAAGTTAAAAGACATTTTTTAAAACTGAAGAGATCTTTTTCCCGAATTAGTTAAAAGACGTGCCGCTCCGTTTTAAAGAGATGATTTGTTAAGACGGGTAAGTAGAGAGTTGCATTGATCCCAACGAGAAAAGATAAAAGTATGAACAATTTCCAGCAGTTCCACTTTAGAATTAAAACGTCTTAATTCAGCAATGTTCCTGTGATGGATGAGGGCTGAGACAGCCTCCTGCCAGTCTAAAGACAAAAACTGTTCAGGATAACCTCAAAGTCACATAAACTAGATTTAGCCAACCAATTTCACCAAGACCTGATGGCAGCTTGTTAGGTTGGAAAGAACAGGAGAGATGGATGTCATCTGCATACAAAATATGGTTTAAAAATAAAAGTGAATTAAATGACCGAATTGTGCAACATACAAGCTAAACAGTATAGGTCCCAAAACTGATCCCTTTGGAAAGTAGCCTTTCCAAAAGACGGAGATTAATGGTGATAAAACAAAAAATTCTGTTTGGTAAAATTGAAACCAGTCTAATGCTGATTTAAACATAATCGTCACCTGATGGCTTTAAGATTGTTGCAGGACATGAAATCAGCACAAGTAGATGAAGATACGGTGCTGAGGTAGCTGGGATAGGTTCCAGCCCCCTATCCTTCTGCTCCCTGATAAGGAAACGCAAAAATGGATGGAAATGGTACTGTTAGAGAATATGGGGGATGAGACACCAGCCTGTTTATTGCATCAAAAAGGACTTAAGGATTTCTCTTCCTGCGTGATATAAGATTAGCAAGAATTTGTAGTTCTGGCTTCCTTTATACCAACATTATAAAAACAGTTGTGCACTCTCTCAGATGAAGTCTGTGCATTTCTACTTTTTACCACATGTACTTGATATACAGTTTGTGTTCCATTACAGTAAATCACTGTTGGACTCGTGATTCCTAAACTGCAGAGCAGAAAGTTGCATTGTACAGAGAAGCACATTCGAATAGGAGCACGCTGTAAAAATGACCTTAAAATC